ATTCTCCAATAAAATTACATCCCAATACAAGTTAGTTCAATTTATTGCAAGTATTACTTTTTCTATTTTATTGGTTACCGAAAATTTACAACTGAAATTGAAGACGCTGTAGTTAAACCAATTCAATAGATTCGTGCTTCAGAACCGCCGTAAAAGTTGGTGCTGGTGCACGCCCCCCCCCCCCCTTCGTTTAAACTCCTGTCTTGATATGAAATGGGAATTACTTTCCTTAGCAAACCAATTGCAACAACTTCTCAGAGTGGATAAAATGATGATCGAATTCAAACATCATGATAAATAAAAAATAGAATTACAAAACCTTTTGGGCTTTTTCAGGAAGAGCGTAAACCTTCTCAAAAGTTTCTGCCCCTTAACAATGATGATGATGATGACGATGATGATGATGATGATGATGATGTTGGTAAAGATGATGATAATAATGATAATACATTCAAATATAACAATAATAATAATAATAGCAAATATAACAATAATAATAATAATAATAATGATAATAATAATGATAATAATAATGATAATAATAATGATAATAATGACATGTATTGCTGATGGTGAAAAAATAAAATAAAATCCAGTAACAACCATTAAATAAACCTCATATATCGACAACCCATCCCCTTCCTCACACACACTCAAGCGCACACGATTAAAGAATCTCTACGCTTTTGTTCATGGTCACCATCAAGGGTGAACGCGAATAAAAGGAGATGAACTCGGGTAAAGGAAAAAAAAAAGGAAGCTTATAAGCTTCTCAAATCACAAGTCAAGTAGGCCTTTTAGTGATTAAACCAGGAACTCCCTGATATACGAAGGTCTCTGCGGGAACTTTTTGATGATAAATGTTATTCTTTGCGAGGATCGCAGGCATACAATAAGTAGAATGGGTATACACGGTGGTATTGATTCTCGTCGAATTGTCAGACTCGTTTGTAACAATGGATTAGAAGAGACGGATCGATATTTTGCCCTTAAATCGATAATGGGTAGGAGGTCGGGTCTGCAATGCTTTTAGTCTTTGACAGCAGTCCTTTCATTGTAGAACTTATCGAAGGTATTGAATCCAACAGGATTGGACTAGTATTATTTTCGTTAGGTCTCGCTTTCATAGTCAGTGTTGGTGCCCAAAATGCATTTTAAACATTTATAATTAAAAATGGCTGGACCGACCATCTATAGAGCAATTCCGGTTTAAATATAATCTTAATTTGTGAAAAGGAAATAGAGATAGATAGAGAGAGAAAGAGACAGACAGACAGACTTTAGAGAGAGAAAGATTACAAGAGAGAGCGAGAGAGTTATTACAAGAGAGAGGGAAAGAAAGAGAGAATGGGAGAGAGAGAGAGAGAGAACAAAAAACTGCATGATGAAGAGTGAACATAGGAGCAGGATACGGGGACCGCCACCTCATAATCGGGCAGTAGCTTGGTACTGGGTATCTCTTCGTAAATATACTATATACAATGCTGAATTCACCTTGGGGCCGACATAAGCGTCGATTTGTCTGCTCGATCGCCTCACTCGCTCGCCACTCCAAACAAACCTGGAAGCTGGAGCTCAGGCAGGGACAACCCCCTACTCCCCGGCCTCATCAACTACAACACAAGTAACACAATGGCATTTTTATTGAGGTTGACGTCAGGTGTAAAAGATAATTTTTGTTCTAGATTTTTTTATTTTTTCAAATGTTCAATGTTTACATATTAAATGAAGACAAAACATACTCCACTTCATATCTGCTTAATAATTATCAAAAACTAACCTGGACGTAAATGCAAGTCCTTGTTTATATTTCTATTAGCATGAAAGCGAATTATAGAATTTTCAAGTTACACAAACAACAAAAAAGGGAAAGAAACTGGGTCAACACAGATCAAACAATAAGAACGCACTCTTACAAAAAAAATGAGAACGCACCTCCACAAAAACTGTGAGAACGCTCCCCCAAAATAACACCGAATAGAAATCGAACACAACACTTGCGGGAGAATCGCACGTATTGTTCTTTCGTGCGTGCGCGCGGGGTCGTATCGACTTGCCGTGGTTTGTGAATGCGTGCGTGAGGTCAACGGGGCTTGGTTTGGACCCTCCTCTTGTTATTGATCTCTGAATGCAAATAAAGTTCGCAAAGCGTCTGGTAGCTAAGGGACCAGCTGAACCATACACAGTACTAGTTGTATACATCGACTGTATGCACTACAGATTTCACCAGCACCCGTGTTCAGTCGCACATGTAAACTAAGCCAGTCCATGTTGCTTGTTATGTTTTGTCGGTAGATCAACAACTTGGTAATATCTTCTGTCAGTGAAGTTGTGGCAAGTTTGTGGTGTATGTTCTCGTCTTTGGTGACGATCTGACGTGGAAGTAAACGGTGAAGTTACTGGTTCTTCGTGTCTATGGCTCTCTCTGGAAATCGCCGATAAGTACCCGTTGTCATTATACACTCAATAGGATCGATCGTCTAGAAGGTTGCGTTTATTGGATTTATACCAGTAAATGGTAACTTGCGGTTGCATTGAAGATATACTCTGGAGTTCGTGTTATCTCTTCTTTGAAGTGTATCGGTCAGGTTCTTTAGATATTAGCCATGCCGAAAGTGAACCGAAGATGATACTGTCGCGAACCATCTAGGTAACTGTAGAGTATGATGTAAAACCCTCACGGCCGAATTTATAAGAGAAGTTGAGAGTATAGTGCAGACTTTATTAACATAATGCCGGTCGCGAAACCAAAGTCGAAAACGAAGAAAGATGACGACGGGAAGGAGAAGAAGAAAGGCGAACCGCCTTCCACACCTAATCAAGAAAATGTTAGCCCTGGTGAGTAAAATATTGGGAATTTCTTCAAATCATTTTTTTTTTAAATTGTATTTTTGCTTCAACATTAATGTGAAAGCGATTATAGATTTATTATTAAAATTGGCACCTTTACTATTAGGGAGTTAAGAGATCTGTTTTGTCAGTTCAAGGTCATGCAGTTGGGTAATTGGTTCATTCCCACTGTCACTAACCGCAGACACATTATTCTTCGTATCACCTTCAATCGTCGTGATGGTAATGGTAATAATATAATATCGGGTATATTCATCATAATATATGCCTATATATCATAATTATCATCATCAACAATTCAACATTCTCATCAACATCCTCATCAGGTCCCACTATTACTCATCGTTGTCACGTTGATGCAGAGGATGATGGTGTAGGTTATCATCATCTTCAACCTCTTCCACATCATCATCAACACCATTGACAAATGTCTCATCATTCTCTTCATCATTGGCACCATCATCATCCTCGTTATCATCTTCATCAGTCATGCTGTTAATAGGTCAAACAATGATTTACTCCATCATCATCATCACGGTGATGATACTTGTAACATGTAATCCTCCTTCTCCTCCGCCTCCTCCGACTCACTCATGCCGTTAATTTATGGGGGGAGGGGGCAACTTTTTTACACTGCCCAATGGTACTCATCTTACTTTTTACCTGGAGCTTGGAAGCTTCCTGTTGTACATCGTTATATTTATCTTGTTAGATTTTGTGCAACCTCCATGAACATACGTCATTGTTATAGGCATTGTAGTCACTACCATACAGCCACTGCAAGCTACTATTGTTAAAATATATATGTGGCACTCCAAATGCTTCAACCATTATCCATAACACTTTGTGAAATGTAAAATCCCATTACAGCATAACAATACAATAGTATTCAATCATTCTGCCAACTATTCACATTGGATCATCCAACCGAATCAAAACCCGGGTTGGCATGGCGCCTTATCATTTTGATCATGTCGATAATTTATGTCGCAATAAATCATTATGTGCGTGTACACTCCTTTTTTCCCCTCAAAATGTTTATGGTATTGATATTTTGTCGGGCACGCCTCAGATTCTGCCTATCATGTGCAAATAATGCCAGTTGTCTTTAAAAGACGTCCATGGCAATCGTGACAATGGTAACAAGTCAATAAATAAGTCATTAACATCGATAACATCTTTGATCAAGGATGTAATGATTAACCAGGTAATATAAACCATAGTAGTGGAAATAACGAACAGACCTGATTTATCTCACTGCAAGTGTGTGAAGTATATATTGCGAATAAAGGAACATATACTTGGCTCACACCTATACGTCTACATCCGCGAGTCAACTTAATATTTGTTTTGAAGCACCATTGATACGGAGCAAATAAATCATTAGCATTCGACTTCTTGATAACTGTACCTTATACCCTCCTCCAATGCATTGATTCCCGACTTTGGAATGCTTATGATGATAAGCTTTTTAATAGGAATATAAAAGAGCACAAACTAATTATTTAAAGCCATACATGTAGATCCTGATTATGTATCTGTAATTCATGCTACCAATTAAGTCGACGGTTGCAAGGCAGACATTATTATGATATAAGATTAGCTGCAGATTAGCAAATCTAATATTATTAACATTGTATATGTTTATACCTTGCCACTACCAGTACTATTACAAATATTTACAATGTATGCTGTTTGAATGAGTTAGCACATTAACGTTTTGAAATACAATACACATTTCTTCAAGATACATGCCTGTATCTCTCTTGTTGTTGGAGTTTTAAGGTTTGTGAATAGCACTATTCATGCTATTTAATGCATTGTCACATGCACAAGTTTGGAAAAATCAGTTTCTTTTTGTTTTCATTTCTTTATGTTACCAGAACCTTTGAAAGTCTATTCAATTAGGCAATTCTCCACACGACGTTGTTAAAATATCTCTCGTTTCCATAGCAACACCCCCTTGCAGGCTTGCACCCCATTTCCGCATTTCTCTGCGTCGCATAAAAAACATTTTCAAGTCAAAATACTTCTATGAGCACTCACGCGTGCCATGAATAATAAAAGACTATCTCAATTGCTTTCTAAAAGACCACCAACGCGATGTATAATACGACCATTATTGAGAACAAAAACCTCTAACAACACACGAACTCTTATTCACTAAAATATATGCGAGTTTCGGTCCGACTAAATTTGATATGATATATATATATATAGTATATGAACGGTGAATCACTGTCGTTGAATTGAAGGTTTTAAAAAAAATGTTTTTGTCGCAGCCAGTGGCTAAGTTGAGAAAGATTTACAATGATAACACGTACAAATAAAGAAAATTTACATACCTGGAAATAAATAACTTTGAGGTTATAATATGCAAATGATAAATCAATTCACGTAGTAACTGGTGATGAACGGGTATAAATTCATAAATATTACTAAATACATATACGAGTTATCCTTTACAAGAAAAGAATATATCCCACATGCCAATAAATGTACAGGTGTATGTATATTCAATTAATCTGTTTAAGACGGAAACGGTGCTTCCAAAGCAAAATAAAGTCCAAATTAGAGTTGATGACCGGTTGATGAAGGACGAGACAATAACAAAATAAGTACATTCATACAATAATGAAATAGTAACGTGGATGTTGCTGGATTTTTTATATTATTGAAAGTCATTTTTATTCCTATGGATTTTTGTTATAGTCTTGACAGTAATTATAGGGAAAAACTTTCAAAAGTCCGAACAAACGGGGCTTTACCTTTGACCCACCTTCCTATCGTTGTTTTGTTTTTGTTTTTTGTTGTATAATAAGTTCATTTTACTCGACTATTCTCTTATCCTGAAAATTGCATCGATTTTTTTTCTTTCTCTCTCTCTCTCTCTCTCTCTCTCTCTCTCTCTCTCTCTTTCTTTCTGCATTAAACCCTTCAACCATGGCAACCAATTAATCGCGTTAGCATTGTGTACTGAGTTGGATCACAGGATATTTACGATCCAATGTTTAACCATTCTTTGTCTCCTAAGCGATTTTATCAGCTAGAAATTGTCAAGAGGGATAGTAAAGGATGAGCGAAATATTTAAATCCCATTAACTGTTTTTTAATCGTTCTTGAGAAACGGTTGAATATCTTTGGATTGAAATGACGAGTTTGAGTAATTTTAATCTGTCAATAAGATTCCTTAAAGCCTCAATCATGCTGTGAAGAAGGCGCGAGGGGAATAATCGGATAAGGATAAACGTATAGAAAATAGGGGCCCCTTGGTTGTCAGTTTACCGATGAGGCTATACCTGGATGCTCTATAGATTTGGGGCAAAAAAGGAGCTGAAAATGAATGGGAGAACTACATAAATAAAGGCCTTGCACGATCTTAGTTCGCTAAAATACAAGTTCTCCAATAGACAACGAGATGGACAAAAGGGATGAGACAGGGACATGTAGGTATAGAATTAACAACATGATATAAAAAAAAAGCTTTGATTATAAAACTATTGAAGGAGCCGTCGCCAGCTAGTGCAATGGTGTATAAAGTAGGGTTACCCTCGACAGATCGATGATGTAACGTAAAAAGGAAAGGATACACAATTTGCTGATGGTCTCGGGGCGGCAAGTCAACGAGGGGGGGGGGGGGAACCATAGAGTAGCGATGCAGCATTTTCTTAAATTCATCCGATGCGTTGACCCCTCTCTGAGTGAAAATCAGGGCTTTATCTCAAACTTTGTGTGGAAAGAATGTACATAGACATAGGGTGCGTTCAATCGAATTTTCGAAGCTAGAATCACAAACATGAATCACAAATCAAAACGCCGTTACAAAAAACATGGTCACTGCGGTTAGCGTTCAAGCGATTTTTCATCAACGCTGATTCTAGCTCATTTCGAGCCCAGCCACTGCGGATCACACTCGCAGTTTGACCCAGGAAGTATAGGTCAACTTCGGCGCGCGCTTTCTGGAATTGTTTACGGCCGACTGTCGGCTGCTGTTTTGAGCATAGATCGCAATAATACAACAGAGAATGAGATGGTGATGGAAGGAAGAAACAACAAATAACATAAGGAAAGACAGAAAGAGAAAGTGATAGAATGATTGAAACAAAGAATAACATAAGAGAAAGTGATAGAATTATAAAAACAAAGATAACATAAGAGAAGGTGATAGAAGGAAGGAACAAAGAATAACATAAGGAAAGACAGAAAGAGAAAGTGATAGAATGCTTAAAACAAAGAATTACATTAAAAAAGCTGATAGAAGGAAAAAAACAAAGATTAACATAAGAATATAAGGAAGAAACAAAGAATAACAAAAGAGAAAGTGATAAAATTATAAAAACAAAGAATAACATAAGAGAAGGTGATAGAAGGAAGAAACAAAGAATAACATAAGGAAAGACAGAAAGAGAAAGTGATAGAATGATTAAAACAAAGAATAACATAAGAAACTGTGATAGAAGGAAAAGAACAAAGATTAGCATGAGAATAGAAGGAAAAAACAAAGAATAACATAAGGAAAGACAGAAAGAGAAAGTGATAGAATTATAAAAAATAAAGAATAACATAAGAGAAGGTGATAGAAGGAAAAAACAAAGAATAACATAAGAATAGAAGGAAGAAACAAAGAATAACATAAGGAAAGACAGAAAGAGAAAGTGATAGAATGCTTAAAACAAAGAATTACATTAAAAAAGCTGATAGAAGGAAAAAAACAAAGATTAACATAAGAATAGAAGGAAGAAACAAAGAATAACATAAGGAAAGACAGAAAGAGAAAGTGATAGAATGCTTAAAACAAAGAATTACATTGAAAAAGCTGATAGAAGGAAAAAAACAAAGATTAACATAAGGAAAGACAGAAAGAGAAAGTGATAGAATGATTAAAACAAAGAATAACATAAGAAACTGTGATAGAAGGAAAAGAACAAAGATTAGCATAAGAATAGAAGGAAGAAACAAAAAATAACATAAGGAAAGACAGAAAGAGAAAGTGATAGAATGATTGAAACAAAGAATAACATAAGAGAAGGTGATAGAAGGAAAAAACAAAGAATAACATAAGAATAGAAGGAAGAAACAAAGAATGACATAAGGAAAGACAGAAAGAGAAAGTGATAGAAGGCTTAAAACAAAGAATTACATTAAAAAAGCTGATAGAAGGAAAAAAAACAAAGATTAACATAAGAATAGAAGGAAGAAACAAAGAATAACAAAAGAGAAAGTGATAGAATGATTAAAACAAAGAATAACATAAGAAACTGTGATGGAAGGAAAAGAACAAAGATTAACATAAGAATAGAAGGAAGAAACAAAGAATAACATAAGGAAAGACAGAAAGAGAAAGTGATAGAATTATAAAAAATAAAGAATAACATAAGAGAAGGTGATAGAAGGAAAAAACAAAGAATAACATAAGAATAGAAGGAAGAAACAAAGAATAACATAAGGAAAGACAGAAAGAGAAAAAGAGGAAAACAAGGTATAACGTAACGGAACATGCCATGATAAAGAGCATGGTATAGTAAACGCAAATTGCATGAAAAGCAGGCGCGCGGTTTTTGCCCAAACCGGAACAGGCTCCGTCATACAATCATGATTGAGAACTCCGTCCGTTCAATCGAATTTTACCGACCGTGATTCTGCAGAATTATGATACAAAACGCATCTTTTTCAGCGTTTCATGTTTGTGTTTTCAAACACGTTTATTTTTACGACCGACGAAAAAAATCGCTTGAACGCATTGCGTTTTAAACTAAACGTCTTTAGAAACCGTGATTCTAGGGTGAAAAAGTGTCGATTAAACGCACCCTAAGTGATGTTAAAATCTTTCGTGCTTTGGCGTATTGACAGTTCACAATACATGTACGGGCCTTGTGATGTACATACAAAGAAAATAGTGTAGAGATGTGAATAAATAAAGGCGGCAATGTTACCTACATGTACATGTACAACAATGTATAGGATTAGGAACACAACTAAATATTGTGTTGAACGTTTTGAATTACTCACAGAATATAAGAAGTTAGTCTAAAGTTTAGTTGCAGGAAAGTATTCCATGAAAGCAAGACACATAAAAATGCCGTCACAACGCGCCTATTGTTGACGCAATAGCGCGCTTTGCCTTTATGCGCAAACTGCCTACCCTCCCCGCAACCCGTTACCACTAGCAACATGACATGTGTCCGATCACGCACAAATCTGATTAATCTCACAAATAAATACAATTTTATTAATGAAGAGCAATTAGCTGCCGTTGAAAAGAATTGATGAAAATTAGTCTAAAAAATGGGAAAACGTAAGAAAAAGAAGGGACAGGCAGCCAAAAGCAAGAACAAAGATGGCGGCAAAAAGGAGAAGAAAATGGATGACATGCGCAGTCAGATGTTAGGCATCATCGAGAGGGTTTGCTCTCGAGGTTCTCCGGAAGAGGAAGGGGAGGTTGACGAACGGTCGAAAGGTATCAATTTAACAAACATTTTGGGGTGATAATTTCCCCCTTTATTTTAATTTTTTCCCGGAGTTACCAAGGGCCGGGAAGTTTTTTTCTCCTTAAAATTAATCTTTTTACCTCTCTCTCTTCTCCCTGCCTGAGATTTTAGTGAGGCCTTTGGAAATGATATACATGTATATGGATCAGTAAAGACAGTGGAGAACAAAACCAAACATAAAGCGAGGTAGCAGCAGGAGTGAAATAATTCATCTCTGTTTATTTCTTGAAGAATACATGCACTTACATAATTTTGCAAATCAATGTTCATGCCTTCATGAAAATAAGATTCCATGAAAGTAAGACAATATAAAAATGCCGTCACAATGCGCCTATTGTTGACGCAATATAGCGCGCTTTACCTTTATGCGCAAACTGCCTACCCTTCCCGCAGCCCGTTACCACTAGCAACATGACTTGTGTCCGATCACGCACAAGTCTGTTTAATCTTACAAATACATTTGCATTAATGAAGAGCGAGCGAGCTGCCATTGACAAGAATTGATAGATATTAGTCTCCAAAATGGGAAAACGTAAGAAAAAGAAGGAAAAGGCAGCCGAAAAGAAGAACAAAGATGACAAAGAGGACAAAGAGGAGGAGAAAACAGATGACATGCGTAGTCAGATGTTAGCCATCGTTGGGAGGGCTCGCTTTGATGGTTATAGCAAAGAGGAGGTTGATGGATGGGTGGAAGGTATCAATATTACAAACATTTGTGGGGTGAAAATCTTCCCCTTAGTATTTGGGTATCTGTCATGTTGGAATCCACCATGTTATGTAATTAAGTTATGAACTTCAAACTTGATGATAGTATGTATCACCATAGGAAGACGATCTGATTAGATTTTGGAGAAACTAGGTCGAAGGTCACACAAGACAATAGCTGTCTTCTGTGACGTTTGACCTTCGACCTAGTTTCATGGACTTATGAAAGTCCATGTATTGACGTCGTTATCAAGATATTTCAAGAGACAGTAGAGATGAGGCTCGAACTTGTTGATAATATGTATCACCATATCCATAGGAGGATAATCTTGAGATTTAAGGTATGTAGGTCAAAGGTCAGAGAGGGAGATTTTTGAAATTAAGTTTTTTTTTGCCTTGCTATTGTCATATCTCAACATGGTGACAGTAAAACTATAGGAAGATGATCCAATTACATTTTGGGAAATAATGGGGTAAGTAGGTCAAGATCAAAGTGGTCAGTTGACATTTGATTCTAGACTTTTTGTTTTTACCGTGATATGTCTTGAATAATTTCATCCATCTCCTATCCTGAATTTAGGGCGGTGGCATAATAAGAGACGCAGTCGCATTTGTCTTGCTCAATTCAGGATTAGTATAGAAAACGAATCCAATAATTTATTCTTACATTTCGACTAAACTATAACTACCGGTATCTCTTCTTATTTTCTCAACAGCGACCCAAGAATGCCGCCAGATCCTAGTCCTGTACGCCCAGCCACTGGCCAACACGTTGATGGCCTATGACATGGTCAAGCACCTCCTCGAGAAGGTGGTCATTGACAGCGACAAGGCTCGTCTTATCAGACGGATGGGGAAGGGGCAGAACGCCGAGACGAACCGTCAAATCGTAGCCGAGCTCGGAACGAGAGGGGTTCGGGAGTTTGAGGTGTTTGTCGAAGGCATTCGAAAGCAAGAGTTCAGTCTCTTGGCAGATCTTCTAGAGCAAAAACACTTCTCAAGTAAGTTTCTTGATAGTCTAACGTCTCAATTGGCAAATGTGATATAAATCAGAAGAATAAAAAAAAAATCGATAAAAACGACTACTGAGAGAGAGAGAGAAGAGAGAAGGTTCTGGCGTCATGAGAGGAAAATAAAGTGAGGGGGGATGGTGTGGTCAACCCCTACTTATTAATTAACATCATCAATTTAATTGTAGTAGGAATCGCTGTCAGGTCGGATTCCCCTTTTTACTCCAAAATCCTAAAATGCTGAAACTCTTGTCGACATGGCTGGAAATTATGAAAATAGATTGTCATCCTTGTGGTATAACAGTTCTTCAACTCGGCTCTCCCACGGAAAAAAAAGAGAAAGCACTCGAGGAAGCAGATTCCCCATTCCAGGGATACATCCGGGATTATGAAAGGGAGGGGGATTCTTGCAAACAATATTTAACAAGTTCCCCCTCCCCCCCCCCCCCGAAATTAAAAAAGAATGTTCTTATTGAAGGAATGTCAGCGGGTTGGGGGGGGGGGGTGGAGTGTCACGGGCCTGCTTTACCCAAAACAATCTGGCAATGGTCTATAAGCAATCAACACATATTTTCCTTTAGATCCAAATCATCGTCAAAGGTATAAATTCTCCAGCAATGAATCTTGGTTGAAAGAACCTTTTTATTAGGCGTCCTATCAAGAAATTAGTTCTAATTTGTTCTCTTTTTTTCTTTCAGGACTTATAAACATTTTGGATCCGGTAGCCAAGAAACTTGGACACCATTGGAAGAGGGTAGCGTTAGAGTTGGGAACAGGCGGTTTCGTCGTCAAGATCGAGACCAAGTACGAGAAGGTCCGAGAGCAAGCGCTGTACAGCCTCCTCATTTGGGAAGAAACGTCTGGAGTTGCGGCTACAGAGAAGAGACTAATCGATGCGCTTGACTACTGCGGAATGAAATGGGCAATAGGTATGAGAAATACATGGCAAATATTCATGTTTTATGATTTCATATGCATTTTTTTTCTTTTGAGATGGACAAAACATCTATAGGAAGGCTTGTCGTGATGGAAAGGAATAGAAGCATGCGTGTATTTTACGAAGTTGAAATCTAATTTAAAGCCATCATTCTGATTGATCATAACTGTTAAACAAGTATAAAAATAAATCTATAGTTAGACCTCAATGTCTGTTATTTGTTCTATTGGGTCTAGATACTAAATCGTCCATGAATAAAATGTAAATTGAATCTTTAGATTGAATCGATTTTACCACCAAGATGTCCTTTATTTCCCAATTAAACCTTAAACAATCCAATGAAATCTAATCAAGTTCATAAGTATGATTTGTAGTAGTTAATTGTTATTAATTAAGATTTGTTTTGTGTGGAACAGAGTACTGAATTGGACATTTTATTTGTTGTCTTTCTGTATAGCATACATTCGGAAATTACAAGGAAAGGGCGGCAAGAAAAAGAAAGGCAAGAAGAAAGGGAAAGGTAAGAAATCGATGTAGAAATGTGTTTATAACATATGACGACAACTACGATGCTTTGGATTCGAGGAAAACAGTCACGATTATGACAGCAATAGACCCAAATTATGACAGAGACGCTTTAATTTACATCAACATTAAATGGTTATCAATTTCAAAATGCAATTATCCGATGCATTTCGAATGCAGCCATTTAGGTTTACAAGGTTAAACATTCGTTAGATATCTCGCTTTCAGAAATGAAAAAGGCCTGCATCCGCGTCACGCTGGATTGAAATTCATCATGTTATCTAATTAATTTGACTTTGTTTACCCCCCCCCCCCCTCCCCCTCTGTCCTTAATAGATTGTTGATTGGGTATATATAGGTAAGATGGACAATTTGTGATGCTTGCATATTTGTTGAGTTTTATACGATTTGGTCATGCTCATGCTCACCGTTTCATTAAGAAGTAATTTAATTGAATAATATACTCGGGGAACAAAACATTCGCAAATACATTTCATTTACAAAACAAGAGACTCAACAAAAAAAGAGCTATCACAATGGTTCTTCTGACATGGATGTTTGGAGGTCACGTCATTATTATTGTTTGAAAGCTATAAGGATTTTGGCATCATGTTCATTGATTGTATTTCATTTGTTTATATTCTAGTTGTCCCTTTAAATGATAATCACAATAGGCTCATGATTATTAATCAACACATGACAATAATGACCAATGTTTATGTTTACAGTATTAACTTGCCATTTATGAACCATGTGGACATGTTATACTATATACGAGACAATTTCATCATAATAACTATTAATCATGAATACTATTTATAAGTAAATTACTACTATGATCATAATTCATATTTCAATATTATTCATTTAGTTTTTTAACACATCAAACACATTCAGCTAATTTAGATATTCTCATATACATCATGTGGTGGCGGTCCATCTGACTTATATGCCCATTTACATATGTATATAACAGGCCAAGATAAATCCTCCTTTTGTACCATAATCAGTCCGAAAAAATGGAATTGTCAAAAAAAATTGTTATTATGAGATTACGAGGACAAGAAAATATGACTTCCCGCTTCGATGAAGCTATATTCGAAATTTTACTGAACGTTCCATTTTAAATTCTAAACTGTGTACTAAGATCAAGAAATGTAATCACAGCTATATTGGAAAATATGGATAGGGGATTATTTGGCACCACCCTATCCTTGTCAGCAGGTCCAGTTTGCTTGAAAACTTCTACTTCAACGCCGGGTGACGGAAAATAGTTTACTTATGAAAATTTACACTTCCTTCAATCCATGTTGTGAATTATTTATCGTGTATTTTTTGTTGTTGATGTTTCTTTAGAATTATTACGACCATTCTATTTTCATTTTAATCTTTGCCTACAGGTAAAAAGAAGAAGTAAAACTGCTTAATCGACGGAAACCTATACAGCCAGAGTTTCGAACGAACTTGCCAAAGTCGGCCATAATGACGTCATTTCATCACGCGCCTCTTATATTGGGATGTGGTTCTTATGTGTGTGCCCAAAGACATCGTCTTAGTGTGTGATAACATTCTTAAAAGACTCGACCACGGTTTCAATGAGCCTTTAGTGATCGAAACGATGGACGTTATGCCTCTTAAGACGAGCTCAGATGATGTTGTTAATGTATCAAAGCTTTTATTTAATGTATTTAGTTTTGCAGCATCGTCATTGAATAAATTAATGTTTAGTTTCGAAGCACACAAGTTGCTTCTACCGAAGATAGTTGATTTCAAGTACTCCAGATGATTTTTTTTTTAAATCGTTAATGTTTGGAATGTGACTATATGAGACTAATTTACCGTTTTTGTGGTAAAGTGGGAGTCAATATCAGCATCGTCATCGGTGAGCATAATACCATTGCCGTCATCGTCCTCGTCCTCATCACCCCTCGTCGTCACCGCTGTCCTTTTCGCCACCTTTTTTGCCACCGTCAATTTATTGAGAAAATACCTTTTACATGAATGCAACAAATTTCGAAAAATGTCAAAGGTCAATTTCAATGGCCCAGACCATCACCTTTATAATGTATGGACATGTTTATTCCAAATGTTATGTAGTCCTTGACATTCAGTCGATAATGAACATACATTACAAAATAGTCTTCACAAGTTAGACAAATGCGTTAGGAGGTGTGCTTTTATTATGAAAATTCGTAGATCTTTGTTGAAATGATGATTGTCAATTCGGTGGCAAGGGTTTTATATGAGTATACGTGTGTGTACAGTATAGTTGCAATCAGATTTATGTAATTATGATTTCAATGCCTTCGAATACGTGAATCTGTTTATTAATTATGTATGGGTGACTCTTAAGGCAGTGCCATGGCCGAGTGGTTTAAGGCACTTGACGGGAGATGCGAAGGTCGAGGGTTCGAATCCCGACACTTCACTAATATCCTTTGGCAAAATTTTAACCAGCACTTGCTACTCTCCACCCATGTGTTAA